AAAAGATCGGCTGTCACTTTCGGAAATACTCAAGTTCTCCTGGAATAACCGAACAGATAAAACTGTTTTTTGCGCAACCTAAAATAAACCCAGAGAGCTTTAAAAGTACTCCAGATGGCCTAAAACAGTGTTTATAAGCATTTTAGAGAAAACGGTCGTTGGGTGCCCATGTGTTTGGCCGTCCTAAAACACATTTAATAGGCGAACTCTTCTGTAGACTCACGAGTAGTCCCTCTATCGCCAAGTCCCTCGAGCAAGACCAAAAAGTAAAACGCACGAAAAAATGGCCGCGTGAAATCCGACTTCGGGCGCTTCTCGCGGTTTTCCTTCGCGTCTTGCACGACGGACTAAGCGAGAGAGGGACTACTCGTAGTCTAATCCTCTTGTGTTTGTAAAGCTTTTATGCTTTAATTCGATACTACCATAAACACTAAAAACTATTCAATTAATTGATTTAGTTAAAACTAGTTTTTACTCAATGTCATACCTTGACTTGTCAAACTTATTAATAATTAGGAAATCATTACCATGACGGTGTTTGGATATCTGATCTTAATTAGTATCATTATTTGATTTATTTCTCTGTTTATTATCTCCTCAGTTATCAAACTCTCAAGACAGTGTGACCACATTTCCAAACAGTTCAAAGTTTGTCACAAATACACCGCTACGTATCGTAGTTTCAACTCTCTTCTCGGTTTTTATGGCCAGACACGCGGTCTTTTGTGTTTGATATGTCACATAAAAAGAGTTCCGCTCATTTACATAAAACGCACATAACTGTCTAAAGGTCAAAAACAATAAAGAAACAAAAGGGGTGTCATACGACCATCTTTTATTACATATCATTGACTTTGGTTTTCCAGAACGATTGAAACATGGAGGAAGAGAGTCTAGAGATCAATGTAGTTGTTGACGGCCAAATTGCCTGCCAGCTGTTTGCAAAAGAGGAAGACATGAATCTTACTCTTGTAGATGTGAAGGAGAAGCTCTTGGAGGACGTTCAAGAGCTGATTCCAACAAATTATCGCTTTTTAAAACCAATCAGTGGGAATTCCGAAATCCCCATTGCATCCAAGCAGGAGAAACTGATCACTATGAAGAAATGCCTCATCAAAAGCAACAACGAGCATTCTCTTCATCTCCAGAGCTACGAGGAGAAACCCAGTGATGCCGGTGGCAGCAACAAGGACGCCTCGAGTAGCAAGGAGGAAAACGAGCATAACGAGGATAACGAAGAGCAGGAAAGACCTAGAAAGATGTTAAAACAGACAACCATCGAGTCCGCTTTCAAATTAGATCGTAAAGAACGCCCTGCTGATCTGCTTAATGCGGCCAGAGGACGAGTTCACCTTTATTCCATGCGGGATATTGAACGGGCAAGTGCTGGCCGCAAAGAATACTACACATTTTGGAATGTTAAAGCCCAAGAGCTGTGTTCTGACCAGACGTTCGCAAAGTATAAGAAACAAGAACTCCATGGCACAATTGACACGGCGTGGCAAATGAAGTCATGAAATTTTAACAGCCCAAGCTGAAGACGAGCTCCAGAATATGCCATCAAACAAGCCGGAAAAGAGTAAAACTCTCTCCAAGAACATTAAGCGTGCACAAGAAGCAAGGCGTGTGGCAAACGAACTAAACAAGCAAGTTTCTGGATTGAAACGGCGTTTGAAAGAGAGAGGTGGGAATGTTGTGTGATCAGAGTTGTCTCAGCTGGAGGGAAAGCTGAAGGATGCGACGTCCGAGATTAAACTCGCCCAGGATGCCTTGAGGAAAAGCATTGCAAAGGCACAATGAAACCAAACCGGATCCGTAAAACCTGTTAGTGCAAAGCAGGCTGAGGAACTTGACGACGTCGAAGGCGACAGCGAGGGTGAAGAGTCGAATATTTCCACAACAGGAGAACTGGAGAAAGGAATGAATTGGGATGAAGAAGAAAATGCAGGAGACTTCAGCCTTGAGGAGAAAGAGATATGTGACCTTGCAGATGAAGCTAAAGAACATGATGATGATTGGTAAAGATACAACTGTTTTTCGTTATTTTGGGCAAAGCAAATTACAGTCCAAATACATTCGCCAAACTGTTCTGTTAAAACTGTTGTGTCATCATCAAACTGCAAGAAGGGACAAGCATGGCATGCTATTGACAATCCAGTTGTTATGTTTCTGACATAATTATTACGAAAAAAAAGTTTGATCGTGATCAAGATTGTAAATTTTCTAACTTTAATGGAGTGATTTTTTTTGTTAAATTCGTGAATGAAAATGTTTTTAACATGAACAACGATATCTCAGTAATGAATTGTTTCAATGTGATTAAATAAATTTGTGCAGTGCACACGTGCCTTTTTTCTTGTCAACTAGATAACGTCCTGAGGCCACACAAATGTGGAACCTAAAAATACCCTAAGCCCAGCAATACCAACCGAACTTAATCGACTAATGATTTGGTTCGATTCAGTTTGGTAATCGACCCAATTCATGAAAAAAGAGCCGGCATACTTGCCTTGTGAATTGAAAGCTTTAACGACGGGTTTCGCAATTTATTCACATTGGTTCAAGCGGTAAACCTTTTTGCACAGTTAAATCTACCGACGTGATTCGTGTCAGAAATCAGTTACTGGTAATTATGCTATAGGTTCCCATGCTAAAGAGCACCATTTCAATAAGCCGCGTGCGAGTCCAGTGCATATAGTTTTGGGACATGCAACCTAACAGTGCTAAACGTACAAATTAAACCTGCCATAAAAACAGATTCAGCTCTATGCCGCTCTTTTGCCTGTCTTATTTCATCCATTGGGTTATGCATACTAGGCAGTCATCTGGAACAGGCCCAAGACCCCTCATGTTCACATGTTATCCAAATGAAAGAACGTGTAAACAATTACGGTCTTGAATGGAAATTAACTCTGGGTGCAAGCAGTACTTAATAGCGAGAAGAATTTTTTCGTGGGTGCAAAAAATTTAAAAAAACTTCCGAGTGTTATTCAGATTCATTTCACCAGGGAAATTTTTTGTCAAACAAACCATGCGTTTCAAGGAAAAGCAGCTTTAAACACAATATAACAACTACATTACGAAGTTTTGACAAGAAAAGTACTTTGTTCCAGGTCCAGGGGTTCCAGATACCGCTGTTTCTGCAGTAATCTCTCACCTTTCACAATAAATACCAGGACTCGTATTTTAATTATTCATTCAAGCACTCCCGGTCAATACTGTACCATGGATAAACTGCCTGATGAGATTCTACTGAGAATATTTTCCTTCCTCCATTTCACACAACGTATTATTTTGCGACCAGTTTCTCGAAGGTGGAGTTATCTTCTCTACGACCAGTCCCTGCTAGAAAATGTTTCAATAACCAAATTGCGCTGCGAAGATTGCCAATTGTTCGCCCCGTTTACCGCTTCAAAGAGGCTTATTGCAGTTGACCTCTTTAACAGTCGTTGGTTGGATGGTTCATGTATATTGCATGCAGGACTGAGCAGGTTGAAGCACCTCACCTTGTCAGGAACCGGTATTACAGAGCAAATTTTATCGAAGATCCCCAAGGCTAGCAGTGAGCTACTAGAGCTTCATCTGGCGCAAACGCGCATAAGCGAGAAGTGTCTGCCCGAGATAATTGGCTTGAAGAAACTGCAGTATATCACTGTTCCCCCAGAAGATGTCTTTGGATTTGGCAGGAGTGGCGTGTTAGCAATAGCAAAAAGCTCTCCGTCCCTGAGGACATTGGATTGCCAAGAAGGCTACCTTTTTAACCAAGAGGAAATATCGCAGATTATCCACTGCAATTGGCAACTGTCAAGTTTAATAATCCCTTACGCCTTTGTTGATGACAGCACATTCACATTTATTATTGAAAAACTGGAGAACTTAACCTATATTTGCATGTGCGAGACCAGCGTTTCACAGGCTTGCGTGAACCAAATCAAAACCAGAAAGCCGAGTTTAGAGATTTGTTGGAATGTGAACCATACACCATAACAGCAAACAATTGAACTGGAAACAGTTTCAGTATCCAGTAGAGTGAGTTTTGTAATCGATCGAGTCAGTCTTTGTTGATGTTTTTGGCCTCATGTGGATTTGCGGCCCTTTATTCGTAATTTTGATTTTACAGAACTGACAATTTTTTTCCTGATGACAAATGTATGGAAATCATAGAAACGCAGGAAAAATCAGGACCGAACTGCATTTTTCCCCTAAATACCGGTTTTAGATTTGATCAGCAAATGTTTTTAAGTTTGTGCAAATATTTTTGTCGCGCTACACATAACATGCATGTACAAATAATTTAATCATGTAAAATGTATGATGGAAATAAAAAAAATGAATGAAAAGTAACTATTATAATTTTTTGAGGTAAACCTCTCCCTGACTCTTCCAGTTCTATTGGCAAATATACGTCCGTTTAAGGATATCAGCTCCTGGAATAAATAGTTATTTTGAGGAAAAATAACTATTTAGAACTGAATGATCAAAACACTTGCGCATACACAGTTTTGAATTAAACAGCGCATCAAAAGGCACGCTGTCGGATTTTACTACCTACATGTTGGCGTGAAAATCGGCATGAAATACAAAATTTGTCAGGCATTCTATTTGGAAACGAGAGACTGGTGCAAGTTTTCAGCATGCAACAACACATCGTTGATCGACAATCGGCAAGACACACTGACTTGGTTATATTTCTATTAATCAGTTGACTAATTCATCAACTTTAAGGCCTCTTCGATGTGGAGGTTGCTGCACAACCCACCTGCTTACCCATCTGCATGAACGCATACTTCTTTCATGGTCGGTTCGTGCTTCATTTACAAACTGGGAATGTTAACAGGTCAGCGATTTCAAGCGGAGCTTTCGCCGTCTTTCCTCTGGAAATTCACTGAATTCAGAGCTGAAACACCCCCCCCATGCCTTTGGAATTCCAAACTGCGTTACCCCCCCACGTCTTCGGAATTCCAGTCCAAGAAACCCCCCCTCTCTCTCGGAATTCCAAGATGCCACCCGTGGTATGGTATGGATATTTTCTGGAATCACCCAATGGGCCTCATCACCATTACACAACTGTGCTGTTGTACCTAGCACAGGTAGACAAGGCCTTCAGTGTAAAGTTAATGGAGTACAACCAGTTTGAGGCTGGCAAGGGAAAAACAGTCCTGGACACCCACTTTACCCGTGTCTCCCATAAGACAGTACGATGGGTAAGTGTCGGGAATGATTTGGATACTAGAGAGAAACTTGGAAATCTCTTGGAGGTAATTTCAACATTGTATTTATCGAATGGGCTCACATGACTAGGTACAAACACGAGGGATTTTGGGAGAATCTGAAAGTTCATGTGAATCTGATCCATACAGTTTACATACGGGTACTTTCAACTCCCCCAAAATTCCTTCAATGTTTATGCCAAGTTTTTGAAAGCACAAAGCAGTGATTTCTTATTTATTTGTGAGATCATCACCCAAGTTTTATGCGACCTTATGTCTATTGTTTTTTCTATGCTTATGCATGTATTATTTTAGATACAGCCAGTAGTAGATTCCCAACAGTTTCCACTGGTTTTCTCCCACCTGTTTGATATATTTCTCTCAAAGAATGAGTTTGTGAGAGGATCCTTTTATTCTTTTCAGACAATGAAGAATGTGAAGTTGAAACAATTGATTGATCGCTCATTTAAAGCCCTTGCAAAAATCGGCACTTTCAAAGACATCTCATTCTTTGGCACTTTCGTGTTTCCTTTGACTGGGCAATACAAAGGAGGCATCATACCAGGGAAAAGGTGCGAGCAAGACCAAGGCACAAGTTTAGGGTCTTTTGTCCCGAACATTGCCAATAGTTGGAGCTACAGGTGCTTCTGTCACAGAGGACGTTTGGAAACCATCAGACACAACAGTGGATGGACGGGTTGTACAAAATGAGTTGTACTCAGTGAAATTCATTCAGGAACCCCTGAGGATGCAGTGCGGAGACCTCCTGCTGAACCTTCAGCCAATGATGACCTCAGACCTGTACCTGTATTTGCCCTTAACAAAGGTGGGGCTAAGGTAACCAAATGTACAAAGGAGCAGAAAGACATCATGATTGCATCCTATGATCGCCAAAAGACATCTCTGATAAAAGCAAACCCAGCAGATGTAATTCAAGCAATGAGAGCTGCGGGTGTTTCAGAACTGAAAGAGTCCCAGATGAAAAGTTGGTGGAGCTGCTACCATCGTAAATAGAAACAACTTGCAGAAAACATGATTGAGGAAGCACTTCAACTGAGAAGTGAACAGCAAGGTAGTATTACTGTATTCTTATAACACATGTGAGCAGATTTACTGCAGACCTTTTTTCAGGGCCAAGGATGGTGGATTGTCAACTATACCCCGCCATGATCTCACACTGTACTTAAACATGCCATGGACCAGACAATAGTTTTATAGGGTGAAATTGAGGAAACGTGTTAAGGCCCTGTTTACATGTTTGTGTATGAAAGACCAGTCTTTCTTTTACCAATATTTGTACAGTACACTGGAGACGAAGTAAAATTTAGACTTTTAACATATTGAGCTGTACACCCCCAATTTTATTGTTGAATCCTCTGGGCTCCCTATGATTTTATCTGGAGCAGAGCCTTAGTGGGTGGCAAAACTCCATCTTTTCAGGTTAGAAGTAACATGTAGTGAAATCTATTTTATCACATACATACTGAGATTTACTCACAGTTTTCTTCATAAGAAAACCTACTTAAAAATTCTGATAGCCAATCACAGCAGCAAAATGGCTTTCTCACATGTGCGTAAAGCATTTCGTCCAATCAGGAGAGCCTTGTCAAAACATACCACACATTTCATTCAACAAGTTCAAGTTCTTTGCATGCAAACCTCCATAGCCAGAAAACTTTGTGTACCAAAAGCACAAAAATACTTGCACTTTTAACAATGGCTCAAGGATCCATGAGATTTAAACATTTAGAAAAATCAATTGATGATTATATTATCGAGTAGCAAAACAAAAATACGAAAGCTAAGATGGCGAGAGATGTGAAGCTACTCATTGAATTTCTGAGACAAAAACACGAGCAAAGAAATCCTGAAGACACCAAAGCCAAGGAATTAAACGAATATCTCTTCAAGTTTATCCTTAGTGTGAAACGAAAAGATGGCAAAGACTTTGAACCTTTAGCTCTTAGAGGTCTGTATTCAAGTTTCAATCGACATTTGAAAGAATGTAAATATCCCACCAGTGTCATTGACGACGTTGCTTTTGAATGCAAAAGAAAATGTCTTGAAGCTAAAAACAAGCAACTTAAAAAGAAGGGCAAAGGCAACAGACCTAATGCAGCAGAAGCACTAAGTGATGATGAGATCAACATTCTCCACGGAAAAAACCTCCTGGGAATTTCAAATGGAGAAGCATTAATAAACACACTTTGGCTCTTCAATTCACTGCATTTTGGTCCATGAGGGTGTGGACAGCATCGGCAAATGTGGTGGGGAGACGTTCAGCTCATGAAAGATGCAGATGGAACTGAATATTTACATTTTTCTGATAGACAAACTAAAACCAGAAGTGGAGCTGATCCACCTAATGTCTGACCGATCTAACCTAAAGCTTTTGCGACTGCAGATTTACCGCATGAACGAGATCCTGTTGTTGTTTTCAAGATATATTCTGAAAAGAGACCAGAGTCCATGAACAAACCAGATGCATCCTTTTATCTTGGTGTTAATCATACTACAAAAAACTCTGATAAAAGTTGGTTTAAAGCCAATGCAATGGGAGTCAACGAACTTAACATTCTAATGAAAACAATGGCTGAGAAGGCCGGCCTTGACAACTCTCACCTTATGAAATACAGCACTCAAGAAAAACAGAAAAGTATGTCAAGAATATTGAGTGGCTCGACTTCAATGGTTCAAACTGAAACGCACTCTCTCGTCAAAACAACCCAAAGGAAGTCCAATGCTGACAGCAGCAGGGCTATTCAAGGGTAATGTGTTTTATGGAGGAAATTTCACCATCAATATCAGCTTGTCCTCGTCTCCAACAGAAGCACAAAAACAACAAACTTATAAATGAATAAAACGCATATTTGACGATGACAGTCCTCCTTTGACATAGAAAGAGTCAGCTTCGTTGAAAAGCTAAGTGCTTATTTTTGTTGAGCTTTTCCTCCTTTTTAGTCAGCATATTTCTTGAATGGATACTTACGAAAAACTAATTCGTTATTGTGAAATTGTCATGCTGTATGCTTAGTTCAACTCAGCATTTTACTTTACTATGTCAAGCCTTGGTTTAACTTGTCAGACACTTTTTTCTAAGTTATTTAGAAAGCTTCCAAAACTACATGGATACTTGTAAAAGCGATTGGAAAAACTTTCCTATAACCCCATACGTCAATTATGCATTCGATCTCATTAATTATGTATCCCTGCTATTGTCTTCCAAGACAATGGTGAATTCCCCAGAGTATTGTATATATACAGTCGACTCCCGATAACTCGAACCTTCAAGGGAAATCGAAAAAAGTTCGAGTTATCGAAGAAAATAGCCGAGAGTAAGGTAAAAATCAGTTTTTACCGTTTTTAATCACATTTAATAGTAGCTTTGTCAAGTGAAAATTAAAAGATACCTCTAGATTATAAATCAGAACATAACGTAACAAAACAAAGCCTAAATGGAGCATGCGTTTTACTGTTTTGAGAAGAAAAGCTGCTTCACGTTAGCCTGTGACAATCAACATGAGCCTCCATTAGTAAATTATACTCCTACAACACATTGATAGGAAATCCAAAATTCAATGTTTCGGATGCAGATGACTTTTTTCCCGACTTTTTAAGGGCTCAAAACGTAGTTCGCGTTATGGAGGGTAAAATTATATAGAAAATGACCAGAGGGGAAACGAAAATTGGTTCCAGTTAGCGGGAATTTGAGTTATCGAGGGTTCGAGTTACCGAGGGTAAAATTACAGTAAATGTATGCCAGAAATCTCGAGTTATCGGGAGTCGACTGTACATCGGTAATGAATACTTACTGCGTTAATAAAAGAGGATTTTAATTTTTTTTTACTTCTGTTTCGCTCTTATTTCCCCTCTCTTTCCCCGGCCACTCTCTTCAGTGCTCCCCAAGTTTCCTTTTTCCTTTTTTCCTTGGCCGTCAGCAAGATTTGAACCAACGCTCCTCTTTAGCTCTGGCGTTCCTGTCTCTCTACCATACCACTAGACCACGACAATTTCTTGAGATTTACCGGATGAAAGAAAGATATCTTTTTGCACGCTTAAGTTCAAATATACATAACATTACAACTGAAACATGAGATCATGTATATTATTCAGGCTTTTGCTTGTAACATATCCACGAAAAAATACATCAATGCAGGCAATAAAAAGCACGCACACTTCAGAAATGCTCTTTCCCTGTATTTTCATCGGCAGACAACAGCTACGGCTCACCAAATGAACTTTTTGAAGCTATCAAAATTTCTGGCGGATCACAACCGGTGCATAGAGTGGTGTAAGGAGAACTACCTACTCGCATCGTCATTGAAATGTCTTAGAGCTTTCACGCTTAGATTTAGCAGTTTTTCCTGATAACTGAATATGACTGAGTTCAACTGTAGGGTTACTGATTCCATAGACCAACAATTACAATGCAGTAAGTTGGTAAGTTGCACATGACATGGAAAAGAGTTGTGTATTCCAAGGACACAATAATGATAGATTTCTTTCCCAACCCATACAGTTTCAACGCCATGTTAAAGCCCGGCAGCTGGAGCTGTGGCCATTCGGGATATCGGGATTCTGGTTTGCCTTAGACAACTCACCAAATCCACAGCAAATCCGAAATGCCCTGTGGGTTGGAGGGAATTTCAGGCATCAACTATTTCTGTCAACATTGCCCTTGACCACATTACAAGCAAACTTGCTGTGGAGTGCCAAAGTCAAAGATGTGACTGGAAAGGGAAATATGCAAGGGCATGAGCTCACCAAACCAATGCACCAAGCTGCTTGTGCAAACAAGGGATGCACATTCTGTAAGGCTTGAGAAAAAATGCCGCAGCACAGAAAATCTTGCAGCAAGAGGGAGATCCCCTTTGTGGTGATCTTATAGTGTGGGATTTGTCGCGGGAGCACAGACAATTCCAGTGTATAAACGCCACCAGACCATATCCCTTAGGCTGCGGGAAAATATTTCCCAGATAACTATGCTATTAATTTTAGTGACACTCTTAATGTGTAGCCAGTATGGTAGGTTTTCAAAAGAAGTATGAATGGCATTTTCGCAAACGTGCTGAAGGTAGGGTGAAGGAGAACCTTTACTTATTCTTGTGCATCATTCGCACTTTCCACAAGCCCAAATCCTCGTCCCCAGCTCCTTCCCTTTCGGCTAGTTTGAATTTTTTAAGAGTGTTTATAATTGTAGAGCGAAAGTAGTCAGAAAGGCCAAAAAAGTGTCAGATTCTACTTAGCATTTATGCAGTTAAAAGATTGAACAACATTTTTATTTGTCTCATCATCAAGATGATATATATTTATAGATGATTACTTGACATTTCCTATGGTTAAGAAGGGTATAGATTTCAGAAAGGTCATAAATAATGAGCATATTTAAGGATTGTCTTAAGGAAATTGATACCACATGCAAGACCCATTATAATATTTAAAAAAATTGTGCCCAGTTGAGGTAAAAACAATAACTCAAAAATTCAATAGCCTGACTCATGCGTGAAAAAATAATGAAACTTCCAATGTTGAAAGGGAGTCCAGCTTTTACTTATGATATGACTTGATATTTGAATTGGGCACTTACACTCTTGGATCTAAGCTAATATAATAAACTATTTATCAATCTTGAAGTTACCCAATCCATTGATCGCACAGGAACACAAAGAAAATACCCTTGTTCAAGGATCAGGATCCTCAATAAAACAATACCAGCGGAAAGTAAGAATGACTTAAAACATCCGCTTTCAATCCACAACACTTTTGACCAAAATCTACCATAACTGTACCAATAAGTGAGACTACAAGAACTCCCTCTATCTTCATGTTGGATCCCCCTCCCAAAAAAAGTTCAGTACATAACATATTTAGTTGCTGTTAACAGAGAGAGAAGTTGGTGGTTCTTTTTGCCCTTGCTTCAGCAGGTCACGGTTCTGAGTTGGCAGCTCATGACCTCAGATTTTGGAAGTTCCATCCTGAGGGAGTCAAGTTTAATCTTCCAGAACTCACCAAGTCTGTTCGTGTTTTCATGTGAGCTTCCCTCAAGACAAGCTGTTGTGTCCTTGTGAGTGCCACAAGGTGTACGGGTCTCTCACAGCCACCTTTAGACCTGTAGATCCTGCACAGCCTAATAAGATTTTTCTAGCAACTATCAGACCACACAACACAGTTAAGTCTCCAACATTAGCACATTGGATCAAGAATCTGTTAGTTAAGTCAGGTATTGATTCTAACATTTTTAAAGCTCATTCTACTAGAGGGGCTGCATCTTCTACCGCCACAAGGGCGGGGTTGTCAGTAGCGACATTATAAGAATGGCTGACTGCTCAACTGATAACACCTTTCGAAGGTTTTATTACAAGCCTGTCCATGATCCATCTTTTGGCAGGACAATTCTTACTCTAGCATAGGGTTTGAAGTAGCACTGTTATATTAAGGCCACATTTATGAAGTGCAATTGCAGATTATGCAAGACCAATAGGGTTGTAGTATAAGATGAATTGCACGAATAAATGGAGACAAAATAGAACAATGCTCCCACCCTCTCCTCCCCTGATTGTTATTTCTTCTTCTCTTCTTTCAAAGGTTCGCTCAGCAAACAGACGAGGATAGTGGGGTGGACCCGATTTTCCCATTCTATTTATTTATTTTCTTTACATTACTGTAATTTTGAGCGAAGTTAATGAAGGCAAAGCGTTGTTACATTTCATCTCCATTTATTTCTACAATTCTTCTTATACTACAACCCTACCTGTCTTGCATAATCTGCAATTCCAGGTTGTACTGCCAGACAAGACTTGCATAGGTTTAAGGTCTAATGCCTAAACCTTCAAAAAACTGCAGAGATTGAAATTAACGTTCAGATTCTCCATAAGTCAAACTGGCTGCAATATCAAGTCAAAATGCCAGCAATGTAAAACAGTGTGTCCAGCAGCATGGTTGCGCAAAGAAATAGGAACATAGGAAACTCAGGATTCAGAAAATAGGAAACTTTGTATGAAAAATAGGACAAAAGAAGGAAAATCAACAGTACTTTCGTCGGCATAGGCTCCCTGCACCCCATCAGGGTTATAATACAGGCTACACTAAGAACTCCTTTTTATAAAAATCTCATGAAAATGTTTTGAAAAACCCATAAACCCGTTTTCATGGCCATGAAAAGAGCGATTCCAGATTTCATGGTACTAAATTAAGTCATGATATTTCCATGAAATTCTCTACCAGTTATTTTCATGGACCATGAAAAGTTTACAAAGCCATGAATATGGATTTTCATGTGTCATGAAAATCTCATACTTTACACCGTTAAAACTTAGGTCAATAAAGTTTATGATGACACAAAATGATGCAAAAAAAATTTTGTGATTAAAAACAGTAACTTGTTAGTCCAAAGAACTAGCTTCATAGACTCCTCTTAGTAAAATTTATTACACTGTTTGTTTCAATCTCTTGTAACTTAAAGTTGCACTTTATGATTCAACACGATTATGACTCCTTAGTATTAGGAAGGTAATGTTCTGGTTCTCTGAAGACTGAAGGTCTCGTTGTTCGTATTCTCTGACATCATATGAAATTGAAAAAAAATGTGGGAACTGTCCATGTTGCCTCAATGTCTTTCCATAGTTGTCTTATTCTTTTTTTAGGCTTAGTGAACGACAAATAAAAATAGGGAAACTGACTTCAGTCCAAACAAATTGCCTTTGGGTCTGTTCACTTGTACTGCAGCTACTCCTGTGTTTTAATACTAGTAGTAAACTGCAGGTATTCAGTGCATGCAAACCACATGCATAGTAACTTGTTAATGCATTGAAGTCATTTTGCCTAAATGTCCATTCGCCAATTGATTTGCCTGGTCACATACAACACTCTTTAGTACACAACACGCCTTGGATTCCACAGCTGCGATTTCCCTAGGAAGATTGAAGGGCCTCTGCTCGAGTTACCTATTCACTGTCCATAATATCGAAGTCTGCATGTACCTCAGCGATCGCAAAGTTAGCTTCGTAAATTCTGAGATATTTTGTGTGAAATTTTCTTATCGGAAAAAAAGCTTTTGATCCACCAGTGTAGTAAGCAACTGGAATATTCAAAGTGTCTTCTTGTACCTGAGCGAGTCCAAACAGATTTGTTGTCATTTTGTTCCATGGTCAGATCGTTCCAAAAAAGTCAGTTTGTTCCATATGTTATATCTATTTTCTAAATGTGTAAATGTTATCTGAGTACAGAGTAGCGATAGGAACATGGATGAAAGTATTTTCAGGACTATTTACATAATGTTGAGAGCACCATATGTTAATTTCACCACGCATTGCTGAACGATGTGAGAACTATTGATGCAATGGCAAGAGCTTGTGTTTGTCAGATTAATCTGTTTGTCGATTTTTGACCAAAACACAGAAAATAAAATAAAGTACTACGTAACCTGCGTGTTTGTTAGCTTGATGTAAAGTGGTGTTAGATTAAACAGCAAGAGAAACCTGTCACGCTTTATGCCGGTTTCCGGCACTACTTGTCGAGTTCAAATTTCGGTGTGACATTCCAGTTCGCTAACATGCCAAATTCGCTGGGTATGTTAGTTCACAGTTTAGAGTTCGTTTGTATCCATAAACCACAAGCAATATCTATAATTTGTACTCCTTAATCCCATTGCTGTAAAAAGATATGAAGGTTTTGATAACCGCAATACAACAAACATGGTGCGGCTTTAATTATAAGATTTTGTTTCCCGACTTTTCACATGTTTATAACATGGTTCGAGTTATCGAGGGTAAAATTGTATAGAAATGATCTGAAGGGAAACGAAAATTACTTAGAGTTAGCAGGAGTGTCCTTACATTACAGTAAATGTGAGCAGGAAATCCAATCCACCCACGGACCTACCATAGTGATCCACTGTAGTTGACGATCTACGTTGCACCGGCAAAGTCAACTACGGTAAGTCTTGGACATTTTTAAAGGGAATTCGAAGCTCGACATGTATCTGTAACACTTAATGTAATTTACTTACATGTTCTGATATTTTCTCTGTTTTCCTGTTTCAGAACACTGCAGAGGATGAACCCTCTCATTGACCAATCTTGGACCCTGCACGTGATGAATCATCCATCACTGACCAAACACCCATCAACCGCTCCATTCACTTTAACATTTAAAATCATTGAAGACTCCACTTGAAAAGCCAGACCAAAACTAATTGACAGCAGGGGATACAGCTATGGTGTAAAAATGTTAAGTCAAGGCCACTGACTGGATATGCACCAGAAGACCCAAGGTGAATATAATTTCATTCGCTTTTAATAAAATTTATTAGCAACATTCGAACTATGGAATTGTTCTTTTCTGCACTAGCAGATGAAAATGTGAATTTTTGTCTTGAAAACCTGGCAGGATTTACTGCGCACTGGAAATTATTTATTCTTATCAGGCAAACGTTACATCTTTATTACAAAGAACAAGTGCTTTTCCCCTAGTGCAAATAGGTCCTAATTGCCTTTTGTATATATCTTTTACCAGTTAAATCCATGCAACGCAAGTATAATTGAATGGTCTGCCTCATTCCACTTTGATTCAAATGCCCACAACCTCGCAGCAGAAGTTGGAACAACATTAGCCGCCAGCATTACAGCAAAAGTCAAGCCCAAAGCAGCAGTCGATATTTTCAGACCAGCATCTGCCATTGTGGAAGAGGTCCTGTTAGAAGACCTGACGGACGACACTTGTCCGTGTTTTCCAAAGTGGGAATACATAGCCCAAGTTGCCAGCCGACACCAACAGTGCCTGAGACCACAAGATCCAACAGACCTTAACTTCAACGTAGAGGAAGACCACATTCCAGACGGGTTCCTGCAAGGAGACATACAAGTCTGCCGCTGTAGGCATCTGATGTTCGCCACTGATCAGCAGCTATAGTACCTGGCCTGAGCCAAGTCTTGGTATATAGATGGCACTTTCAAGCTATGTCGGCACCCGTTCAACCAGCTGATGACCGTGAATGCCTTCGTCAGGACCGACAACCATGCCAAACAAGTGTCTCTCCTCTTCGTACTGATGTCAGGACGAAAGAAAAACGACTACAAAAAAGTGCTCAAGCGGCTACTCGAGATCCTCCCCTCAGCCCCGGCCGTTCAACAAGTGACATTAGATTTTGAGAGAGCAGTATGGGCCGCTTTAAGAGACGTCATCCCCCATGCAAGGCTGCATGGTTGTGTATTCCACTGGACCCAAGCCTTGTGGAGAAAGGCTAGTGAATAATAAAAGTAGGAAAAACTTAGTCATAAAAGGGACATAATTGTTTGGGAGAGAGATGAAATGCTTTAAAAAAGTTTTACAAAACTGTCCTTCGAAGCAATAAATTTATTGGAGATTAGCCCTCCGTAAAAATGGAATCAGTAGCCAAATCTTTTCTTTTTATCCATACTACAGGTGCAGGAACTCGGCCTTCAATCATCATAATAATACCCATGACCTTGGTTCGCACTCATTCATTCAAAAGATGATGGCACTACCTTTCCTGCCTGAAGAAGAGATAGAACCCATTTTTCAACGGCTTCAATGACATTCTTCGGAGCCTCTCCAGCAGTTCACAGAGTATGTAAATAATACCTGGATCAACGGCACGTGGGGACCCTCTAACTGAACCGCATTCAAGGGAGCCATGCGCACCAACAATAATGTTGAAGGCTGGAAAATGGGCTCAACCGCCAAGCCTCTGGACGGGGACAGCTGCCAACGTATTTGCTGATAAAGTTTCTACACAAAGAAGCTACACTTACTGCCCTCCAGATCCATCTTGTTTCCGAGAGGAAATTGAGAAGAATACAGCGACCCAAGTACCACAACCTGCTGGCGAAGCTGTGCGAACTTTGGGACCAGTATGAAGCGAAAGAATGATCAGCCGAAAGTTTGCTGAATGCATACTCCCACCTCAATGGACCGAAGTTGAAGTAGATAACTTCCATTCTTGCGATAGTATACAGGGGATATTTAAGTATAGGTGACGGAAAATATAGGTTTGGCCGATGTGGATAATTCGCGCTAGTTCACACAATTTTGCATTAGCTTAAAGTCATTATTTATTTGAAAACACAGGTTTGGCCTGTAAGCTTAGGATATCTACATGCAGCTAGTTTTATAAGTCTCTATAGGTAAGGTGTAGTACACACGCTTTTAGATAAGACTAGTCTAAGATGAAGGTCATTTTGTATTTAAATGTTAGATAAAATAAGATAAGTTCATTGCGCACTTAGCTTTGTGAAATTAACAAGGGCTACCTTCAGTTATTTTATGTAATACTGTATGTTGTTTAGGGAAGGAGTCATTAGGAGGTCCCTGCATGTAAAAAGGATAATAATTTAACATATCAATAAGATTTGCACTTAAAATTGCGCACCAGTCCAAGTAGGTTTTAAGGAAGAATAATGTTCACTATCCAGTGGATAATTAACAATCATTCTTTCAAATTGAGGTGAATAGTGGCAAAATATTTACCGAGCTGTGAAAGCAGCAAGGTAAATATTCTTAAAGCCACTATTCACTGAGATTGAAAAGAATAAATGTTTTAGTATATACACATGAAGTGATCTCGACAATATTTTCTAACAAGAAAACCATTTAAAGGCAATTTATTGACACTTCAATTCATGCGTGATGAATGCACAGTGCATGCACAAGAGTTATTTACAGAAAGTTCAAACGTGGTAAATCTCTGAGAGAGTTTTTTTTCTACAAAATGTTTTCAAATGCTCAAAATGACCTCACGGAAAGCCTAAATTAATAGTCTGGACTGAAAAAAATATCCAAAATCCTCTTTCAAAGTTTACTTAAAGTGGAAATTGAATGAGCAGTTGGAGAAGGAGCCACCAGAAATGATGCCATGTGCAGCGTTAGTCGACATCTTTTCTTGAACAAAAATGTTCTCCTGGACATTTGTGGATGTGCTTGAGTGAATTGCTTTGGATACTGTCTCCATGGGAGAACGATTCACTTCTGCTAGCGGGTTAAAGGCGACTTGATGGTCAGGTCTGCAGAAGTTGATGAAATCTGTAATCACCGATGACATATTCTTGAACTGCTCAAACGTTGAACGATTGTTGTAGGATTCCAAACTTGCATCACTTTTGTGGCCCATGACTGCTCTGATGTGGCGATTTTTCATATCTTTGAAAGACAAAATATTTATGGTGGTCGACCTGACGCAGTGATTTGTGAAGGGAGGATCGATACCAGCTCGGAGGCACATATTCTTCATCATGCTGTTGATCGTGTTATGGGCTAGAGGAAGTGTTGAATACCAAATGACATCAGAAGACGGTTTAAATTTAGCACCAGTTAAGGGCTTCTGAAAGAGTGCTTCACATTTTGGATTTAAATGGGACAGGTAAGCCTTCACGACTGCTACTGGACAGCTAGCAACCCCTTTGCCTTCGAACATTTTACCATCAGATGGGTCGTCCGTGCCGTCTAGACAACCTTGGTGGTTTTTGGTTGAAAAGACTCCTGGCGTTTCTCTGTTAAGCTCAAAATATTCCAGGCCGGAATTTGGGGTGTTCGAGAGCTTTAGGCTTGATTTTGTCAATTGACGGTGGTTTTCCCTTCCTCTTCGACCAAAGTAGAAAAAAAAACCACGCTGTTTGCTGCAGCTTTTATGGATCGAGACATCACGCATCTAATAGCTTGCCGGCTTTGTAGAGCTTTGAAACTGCTTCGGTTGTTAGTGCAGGTTTGTGGACTGTAGAACAAATTTGACCTGACTTGATCAGAGTTTTCAGAAACGAATTTAGAGCTTTGTTCACTTCCGTGAACTGGCTGTCACTGATTATAGAAAATGGCCAGTTGTGTAGCTCTTTGCGCAAATGCCGATCAATAGCGGCTGTGATCGAGGTAAGCGTTGCTTTATTGTAGTAACCTCCATCCTGTTTTCTTGCAGACATATAAAATTTCCACAAGCATTTATTTAACTTCTCCTTGTTCATCTCTTCTACATCTGTGGTAAATTCTTCTTGCTGGGAAAACCAATCTACAAAGAATTTACCCATATTGTAACAAATTTTTGATGTGAAGAGTTACAAATGTCACTCAAACTTATTGGCAGTTGTCAGCAAAATAAAACCCGAAACACTTTTTAACACTTTGGAGTCTTCTCTTACCTTTAAAAACTCTCAGTCCATACTAAGTTGCCTTTTTTGTATTCTCAGGCACAGCCTCGTCTTGTATTTGTAAAATTTCTGATTCTGAAACTTGAGCGAAACACAAGTTTATGCCCGCAATTTTGTTTTTGTTTTGAAAATCATGAATTACGCATTATCCACTTGCTCGGAGGTGAATATTGTTGAATGGCCCGAGAGAGCGAACCAATCAGATTGCTTAAAACACCAAGATCACTGAGTGTGTATATACTAATGTAATTTGACTCCCTAATACTCGTCCACTAGATAGTGATTTAATCGAGTTGTGCACTTAGCTTTGCGAAATTAACAAGAGCTAGTTTTAGTTATTTTACATAATTCTGCATGTTACTGCCAAATACTTTCTGGTTTTTCGTATTTCCTTTTGAACCCTTTTTAGTTTCGTTTGCGTTATTATCTTATAGTATTTGTGGTTTTCGCCGCGGATGTACCTGCTTACGTATGATTTACAAACAAAGAAGTCTATTATCCTTTGTATTAGTTAGTATTGTCGAACGTGCTCAAGAAACTTTTTTCAGTTCTAGTCAACGTGTCATAGTGTTAAGATTAAAGTAAGGCTCAACGTCAACGCTGTGAAATCCCTAAAGCGGACACAGAAGTAAGTCTTTTCACTCTGTGCATGATATGTTACGTTTTATATAGCCTTTTTTGCATCGTATATCCAAAGTTTGTTTTCGTAGTTTTAAGGTAGTTTCTAGTTAATCTAACTATAGTTTTCGCTGTATTTATTTCTTAGTTTTCGAAACCACTTTGTATATTGTTTTCTTCGTTTACACCGCCTGATCATCGCTTCTCTTCGCATCGCTTCTTTTCAGCATTGTTAACGTCTCATCGCTTTGCTTCAATAAACTTTGGTTACATCCTTATTGTCGTGAGCATCATTATTGTAGCGAAAGTTCTTAAAGCGCGTCAAGAATTTTCTATCTTAACGTGGGATTAAACGATCGTCCTGTGAGTAACGTTTTGCGCTCACATTCGTTTCGAAAATTCTTAATTGATTTGTGGATTCAGTGCGTGCCGTACAACGTAACATTCAAACGCTTGGTTCGTCTGAATTACAATCGAAAACGTCCAAAATGGCAGCGAACGAAGCCACGTGGTCACACAAAGGAACACTGAGCGAAAGTGTTGACGTCACGCTCAGAAACAGCGATGACAGAACAGAACTCACCCATCACATTCTGGAAGATATCGAAGAAGAAAATTTGGAAACTCTCAAAAACGAAAAGGAAAACGCCAAAAACTTTGATACCGATACTGAAGAATCTCAAAGGGTCAGAAAATTAACGGAAAAAAACGAAGAAGAAAAAATTCGCCGACTGAGACAACGAGGAACAAACGCATTAACGGCTTTTTCCCGTAAACGAACCGACATGAACAAGTTAATGACCGACCGGAGAAACCTAGATGTTGTCAAAGCTGAACTCAATCAATTGGACAGTTTATGTCAACAATTCCATGACGCCAATAATCTTTATTATGATGAATTAGCCACACCGGAAGAAACGGAGATCGCCTCTCCTTATTTTAATGACAAGGAAAGTGACATTTTCGAGTACCGCAAGGAAGTTACTAACTGGATTCTTGAGTGCGAAGCTAGAATAAGCGATCATTTAGAAAGATTATCGGATAAGCGGTCAGTTAAGTCACGCTCATCACGTTCCTCACGTTCGTCAAGGTCGTCACGCTCTTTGCAGTCCGCCTGTATGAAAGAAAAAGCCAAAGTCGCCGAATTAATGGCAGAACGTTCCTTGCTAAAAGAAAAAATCAAACTGCAAGCCGCTGAAGAACAATTACAAATCGACCTCGAAATAGCCAAAGCCAAAGCCAGAGAACGGGCGTTCGAAGAATTGAAAAGGGAACAAAATCTGAAATTACCGGAAGTAGATGAAGGAACACATGATTCTTTTCTTGCGTTACCAACACCCGCTACTGGTCGTAAACACGAACAGCCGTCGATACCCGGCAATTTTCCGCTTCGCTCCACCAGTATCAAAACAGAACGTGAAAAAGGAGAACTCTCACCGCTCAATTCAGAAAAACCCGAGTCTTATTACCGTGCCTTTTCCGCTGAGACAAAGAAAGATGTCACACATCTAACCAATATGGAGAACGAAATGCTAAAGGAAGTTTTTAAAATTCAGCACGAACAAATACAGGGAATGGTAGCCTCCCAGAATCAGTTAGCAACTGCAATTGCCCTTCCAGAGCCTGAAGTACAAAAGTTTAAAGGGGACCCTATGGAGTTCAAAAACCTTTCTGATGGCGTTCGATGCGCGCGTTCAGTGAAGAGTAACCAACAGCGCAGACAGGCTCTACTACCTTGACCAGCATCTCGTAGGAGAACCCAAAGAACTGATAAGCGGATGTCTCCATATCGAACCGGACGAAGGCTATAAGGAAGCTCGACGCCTTCTTCAAAAGGAATATGGTGATCCGTACAAAGTCTCCACAGCGTACATGAAAAGGCTAACCGAGTGGCCAACCCTCAAGTACGACGATGGGCCTGCTCTGAAGAGCTTCTATATTTTCCTTAGTAAGTGTAATTGTGCTATGAAAACCATCTCACAATTTGCCATCCTAAACCATCCTCCAAACATGCAGGCAGTAGTTCAGAAGCTCCCCCTTCGCTCTACAAACAAAGTGGCGCGAAAACGTAGTGAAAACGAGACGCAAAGACGGCAAGGTTGCAGGCTTTACAGAACA